CTATTTTGAGTTTTACCCAAATTCATTTGCTTAAACTTCATTCTACTCTTCATCATATATAACTCACCACTCCTCTTATCCTCTTTTTCAGTTTTAATCTCCATCCTTTACTTTTAAGATAATTAATGAAAATTTCAAGTGTTAAGATGTCTCTACCATATTTAATTGCATTCTTTTAACCTCTCAATATGAATCAGGTATTGAATTAAGTAAAATAATGGCATTATATGTTTCCAATACCTTTTCATCATAATTAACAATAACATGAACGAGTTTGTAAAAAATTTAAATTGTATTCAAGATCCTTTGAATGATCTATTTTGAAATTGAAATTTTTTTTTCAAACAAGTACAACTTATTAAAAGTAGATTAAGCAAATAGAAGTCCTCCAACATTTTTCAAAGTTCTTTACAATAATCAAGTTTTTCAAAATTTTTAAAATAGTGTCGGATAGGTGTAAAATAACTGAAGTGTAAGCAAGTTCATTATATTTTTCTTTTTGTATTTTTTTAAATTTGCGAAAAATTTATCATCTGTGGCTTTTGAAATTTTTTGTTGAACCAAAACTCTTCTTCTTTTCTTGCCAAATTGAAAAATCACATTTTCCATTGAAAATTCCAATTTTGAAATGTGAAGACATTTTGAAAAAAAAAAAAAAAAAAAGGCAACTAAAGTGCACAAATATGTCAAACAAAGTAATCTAAGGTTGTTGTATATACCGTTTTAGATTCCCAAAGTTTTATGAGGTTCGAGATCTCAATAAACGTTCAAACGAGTTAAGTCGAGGTGTTCTAATAGAATAATCAATACATTACGAAAAAATTTAGTTTCTCACGCAATGTAGTTTCACACAGTGACTAAACGATAATTAAAGCACAAAAGCATTTATCAACTTGCAGTCAAATTCAACACTTCAAACGTGGCAAATGATTCCTAAATTTCTAGCGCAAATCATAGTTACCCGATATGGTAATCTCAATTCTAATGTCATCCTATATGATGCACACACTAATGCCGAAATTTAAATTTGGATAAGTCGATATATCAGAGCAGATCAATTTGAGTCCATAAATAATGAGAGATATGAATTTACTACTTTAGGCCCACCACTATTCGCCCTAAAGTCTCCAGCAATAAAGAAATCATTTAACCATGATCGAATCCCAAATGTACAAAGAGCAAAATCATCCAAACTTCACCATATAACCTGAAACGGAAACCTAACACTATAATGTCAGAAAAATGTCAGGAACAAACTGCCTGAAAAGATCTCCTTGGGATTCACTATTGAAGCCTCTACGAGTGGTCACCATGCACTGTTGTCGATGACACAAGCCTAACCATCAAGACCACCTCTACCTGCACATCACGCCAGTGGTCTCCGTGTTGTCCAACAAGTAAGTGGTCTAGCTAAAAATTGAGAAAACAGCCTCAATTTTTCATAGTTTTCAAATAGTTTTTCAGATCTACTTTCTGCCAATTTTCTAGCCGTTTTCTTTATTGGATTTTTTAGCCAACTCCATCACCTTGAAGTTTTGATACCAATTGTTGCAGAAGCCAAAAATCTTCTAAACTGTGTTTTTGGAGTTTAGTTTCACATTACCTTTCTTTACCAAACAAACAATTTAAACAGCTCTAATCCACAACCAGCATATTAACCTCGGTTACTTCTCAATATCACCCATGAAGGACAAGATAACGATGCTGATTTGTAGCCACAAAAGCAAGAAAGAAGAAACAATGAAAAGGCAAAAGAGAAGACCAAAATCAAAGAAAGGCATACATTTTTCTTCACCAAATAGGCTGTTGAACTCTCTCTCTCTGCACACTTTTTTTCCCTTCTTTTTCTTACAAATCACACACGCTAATGGCTTGGGTAAAAGGCAACCAATATATATAAATAGATTAGGCTTTATTTGGACCAATAATAGGTTTAAATTGGTCAAGATTCATAACCATCCAATAGGTAAATATGTATGGACCGTGAGTAGCATCAATTTTTTAAACTACTTCCAACGGTCCAAATTGTTTTCAAATCAAGCCTTTGAACTTGGTTGTTGGCAACGATTTTCACTCATTGGTCAATGCTTATGAAATTCAATCCAACATTTACATCATAGCCCAGAGTTCATTGAGTATCGGAACCCAACATCCTTTAATTGAAGTAATAAAGTATTGGATTCAATATATTTCCACAATGTTTTTCGCTAGCCACTGAACTTTGGTGATGTGGTGAAAATTAATGTTCAAAGGTGTAACATGTGAATCAAATTGTTGAGTATACAGCATCTGCTGTACACTCTTTTTGACAACCCATTCACACAAGTGGGCCTCGCGATTACTTGAATTGTGGGTTCCACACGTGTGATGTGAAATGGCTATCAAAGATGGTGTAAAAAATGGTGTACACTTGGCATGCTTCCATGTGAATATCTAATACCTACAACATCCATTCCTTCTACATTTTTACTAGTTGATGATAAAGTGACATGTGATGTAATAGTTTAGTAAGTTCAGTGACTAGTCAATAACATTTTAAAGTTTCATGATCATTGGGAAACATTATAAAAAATATAGCATTTAACCTATAAAATAAGTACAAGAATAGTTAAATAGTAATTAACTAATTTTAATTTTTCACTATCAAATCACACTATATATTTTAATATATGGTTTATTGTTATCATTTTTTAACTTTGATCAACCAGTTTAGACCAATTGTGAGAAGCTGAAAACTACCGAAGAAGCTTGAAAATAGGCTGAATGCTCAACCGCTGGAAGTGATAGTGTTGACCAACATAGGATTGGAGGAACACCAATACAATTTTAGCATTAAAATAAATAAAGATTGCATTATTATTTTTTCATTGTTTATGTTATGAATATTGTGAGGACATTAATAAAATAATGATAGGTTGATAATGTATATGAACAGTATATTTGATAATACTAATAATGAGATCATTATATAATATTTTTAAAATGTGAAAATCGAAAAAGAATAATCGAAGAAAAATTATAACTTTGGTAATATTTTTATCTTATACAGCTAAGCCATGATCTTACAAACGAATTAACTATATAGTGGTTAAAAGCACTCTCCATTCTTTTAAACATATTTTTATATCTCAATATGGTAGCAAAATCAGACCACGATATTGAAAAAATAATTAATTACAAAGACAGGAAAAATGGGAGAAGAACAAGAAGCAGCAATTATGTTATTTTTTCACCCCTGCTATATGGTAAGCTCTTTATCTTCTTTGGAAGTTGAAGAAGTTGCCAAATGCAAAGCCAAGGAAGAAAATGAGAACCCAAACTAAATGCATTACGTCCACAAAAGGAAAGAAGTCGTGTTTGAAGCCCAAGCTTTTGTTAAGATAAGCCTTTGCTGTAATGTTAAGAGCTCCAGACACCTTAATTAAGTAGAGAGGATTTTGTTAGAATTTTATGAAACTCTAAATCTCAACAACTTAACATTCCAATTACTCTATTGTCAACATCCTCCAATCAAATCACGAAGAAAATTATTAAATATGGAACATACCTTAATTCATTGGGAATGGTTTTTCATTATTGAATCTTGATTCCGAATCTTGAAGATCAACTGCAATCTCTTCATATTTGACTTCTTAATCTTTAACCATGAATATTGCTTGTTTTGATTCTTAAATTCTTGTTTTTGACTTTGGTTTCTTTCTCTCGTAATCTTAATTGCTTCAATACCTTCTTTTTTATTATTGATCTTGATATGAGTTTTGAATTTTCTTCTTCAATATACTTTATCTTGAAATTATTGTGTTGATGGGATGACATATAAAATGAGAATCAAATCTGAATTGGAAACCATAACCTTAGATATACCCAAAAGTATTTCGTCCATCATCATGAAATATAACCCTAATAAATTTGATCTATGCACCTATATTTAGGCCCACACTTTATTTAGATGCCCAAAATCCATAAGTTTAATTCTTTAATAGATCACTTGAATTAGTTTTAACCTTAAGATAGCATTTATACACAATTAATATCATTTATAGGCCCGCATGACAAATTAATAAGCCAAACAATCTCCCACTTGGATCACATATATTACCCTAGAGATGTGTATAATCTTATGACGTCAAAATTTAGCTATCATAACCAAAAGCATCTCTGAACAATCTCATTTATTAATTATGTCAATATAGAATTAAAATGATCTTTGTTATAAGTATCATAACTAAAACCATCAAATATCACGTATATCAACATAATCAGCTGACATAGATCAAGTATGGATGTGTAGCATGAAAATTATTTCCACGTAAATGTGATCTAAATATGCATATTTTCAAGTGGTCCTACCTTAATCTTTAATGAGATCAAACAAAAAACTTTAATCAGAATGAAACTGAAATGAATACATTATTTCTGAAATAAAATGAATATCGATTGATAAATATATGTATTTGACATTGACAACATCCAAATATAAATTCTTACTAAATTGGCATATCATTAAAAGATGCAACACCCATGTGAGTAGTACGTTCATAAAAGACCTTGGGTGGTAGCTTTTTAGTAAATGGATCTGTAATCATAAAGTTTGTCCCAATATGTTATATAGAAGACATCCGTCAAGGTGGTTTTTCCAGCCCCACTAAAACCAACAAGTGCGGTTAATAACCCAGGTCTGAAGCACCGCTAATATCTCGTAAGGGGTCTGAAAGCACCGCTAATATCTTGTAGTAGTTGGAGACGAGTTTCTTCTATGCTTTACGTAACACTTATGCTAGGATAAAGATCGGTCAAAGAGCTCTAGCAAGTATGAATTCAGATGAACTCTATTGTGCATGTTTAGTAAGCACTACTGAACAAATTCTTTTTCTTAACATTATCTTATACAGTCGAAGATTACCTTACCGAACATATCAGTAAGGGAGTGCGGCCAATCCCTACATAAAAACTGCAATAGGAATAATTAGGCTACCCGTTTTGAGTGTTTTAAGAACCCCTTGAAGAATAAACTCAACTGAAACTCATGCAAAACCAAGATAAATGTGTTAGGACTTAATTGTCACCACCATATAAATTTCCGTCAAGCCTGGTAAGAGAAGCTTGGAGCAATATTTTCGACAATATACATTATAAGCATGATGTAGTTACGAAATAGCTTTACCAGACTACTTTTCTTCCCAACAAATATGTTTTTGCTAGAACAACTCAAATTGCAATTGCTCTCCTGCAGCACTATATTCCAGATACTTTTCCTCCTCTTGAGTTGCTATTTTGGAAATACCGGTGTCATAGAACTCTGGAATTTGGGGTGGAATGGCACAGCGTATCAATGGCCAATTTAGGCCGTCGAAGAATGGGTGTCGTTTGATCTCGGCAGCTCCAGTCTCCGTCCCCAACCGGTTCTCGGGTTCCTTCACCAAAAGACCTCTAATGAGATCCCTTGCCTGAAAACTAACAATAGGGCTATCAGGAAAGTTCAGATTCTGCAACAACACATTGGCTAATGTCTCTTCGTTTCCAGCACCTCTAAAGGGCGTCTTCCCGTAAAGAAGTTCGTACAAGAAAACACCAAACGTCCACCAATCAACTGCACTCCCATGACCTTCTCCTTTAATGATCTCTGGAGCCAAATACTCGTGTGTACCAACAAACGAGTTGGATCGTGCCTCAGTCGGCTCAGCTACAAGCTGCGGTAACAATCTAGTCTGGGCAGAAGCTTCGGCTTTTTGCTTCCTTGCCTTTGCACTGGCAGGTAAAATTCTAGGGCTAAAGCAAGAAACCTGACACGAAGGTCCAGTACAGAAAGGATCAATACAGTTAGACCTCGCACATGGACCAGATATTCTTGGTGGTTCCATTCCCAGTGAAGAAGATTTAAGAAGGGTCGGGTTAACAGAACATCTAAGTGACAAATCAAAATCTGTTAGCATGATGTGACCGTCTTCTCGGACCATAATGTTTTCAGGTTTCAAATCTCTGTACACAATACCAAGCATGTGCAGATATTCAAGAGCAAGCAGGACCTCAGCAACATAAAATCTGCAGGTACAAGAGAGTTGTAAGCAAAGAATACAACTAAGAAAACATGATGAATCAGTTCCACAAGTGGACCTGAGTTTCTTTTAATTTTGGGCCTGCACCTATTTTAGACACAGAAATAGAAATGCGTATACTCAGAAGTGGAAAAGAAACACTTCAGAGGTCACACAAAGTTTAAGCGTTTGACTCAGAATGTGTTGCAAAAATAAACTTAGCACCTTCTCAGAAGCTGCATGCAACATGCAGTCTTCTGGATATAATCCATTTAGGCTAGCCTAAGAATCTTGTAAGTATCATTTTCAAGCTGGCTGGCTTGCTCATTGTCAAAACTAAGATATAAACATTTATTTTGAAAAGTAATAGCATAAATCATTACCATTTAAGTAGTTTACCTAGACAAAGATCAATAGGCATTTAGAAAATATAAGTAAATATTTTTACCATTATTGTTCTTGCCAGTGATGAAATAAAGAAATGGTTAAGGTACTGATCACCATTTCTATTGCACATAATAGTTTCAACAGTCAAGCATATAACTAACAGATGAAACTTCTACTGAAAAGTATAATTAATATTGTTCATTATTTTTCCTGATGTAAATAATGCGAAATGCAACAAGCAATTTGATACCTTGCTGCGTGTTCAGGAAAATATCTACCAGGCTGCTTCTGGCGGAGGACGTGTAGATCTCCACCTGGACAGAACTCCATAACTAAACATGATAAATTGTCAGAAGTAAACTGGGCATACAGCGTTGGGAGAAATGGATGGTCAAGCATTCTCAGAATCTCTCTTTCAGTTTGAGCTCTAGACATTTTCTTCCTTCTAGCCAAGAACTCATTATCCATAACCTTAATTGCAAATAAGCAGTTTGTTCCTATCAGTTCAGCCAGATAAACTGTACCAATATCGCCAGAACCAAGCTTTTTCAATAAATTGAAGTGATGCAATCCTAGAAATCCATATTGTTTTCTTATATTGTTGATCGCTTCCCACCTCAAATCCTTTGACATATGCGGTCTATTGCCACAATTCAACCCGCTAAGACTGTCTTCACTAAGACTTGTAGTGCTACTACTAAAATCACAGATACTGCTCTTTGAGCTTTGGGAAAATTCTCCTTTCTCTTTATATTTTGAGGTCATGCTAGTGTTGACCAAGGGAGTGACACTATCCTCACAGCCATTTGGATTGAAGTCCGATTTGATTGCATCATACTTATTACTACTTGTACTCACTTCAGCAACAGTAGCTACTGGGTGGTCCTTATGAGACTCATATTTGTTGTCCTTCAAAGAACACAGACACCTCTGACAGATAGGTGGGCCAGAATTGTGATCCAAAGCACTGCTTACTTCATAAGATGCAGAAGAATTTCCATCTGCTAATACCAATACCGTCTTTGATTTCTTAATAATGAGATTCTTGTTCCTGAGGGCAGGTTTGACTGCACGAGAAGTGCTTCTTGTTGACTTGACATCCCTATTGCTTTTCCCTGTGCTTGACAAAGGTAAAGCCTGCAACCTTCCCTTCCTTCGTAGCTTAGGCGCTGCTTTATTTGCTACTTTAGCAGAGTTGGCAGTATTTTTACTTGGACCACTCACAACCTTGTTAGATCCAGTAAAATTCTTGTCTGGCTTTGGGACATTATCGTCATCATTACAATAAGGTAGAGAAGAGATTGAAGTATGGTTTTCCTCCTGAGAGGGTTCTGCTTCCATTTCTTGGATTTCGACTTCTGTGGACACTGGTGCACATTCATTATGCCTGCAAGACAATTCTACGGTAAAACGAGAAGAGTGAGCACTTTGATTTACTGACTTCATCCTAGGCTCTTGATACTGAGGCAACTTCTTAGAACAACATTTAGTGCTTTCTTCTTGCACAAGGTGTCTTCCAACACTATCCCCCAAACATTCAGTCAGGGAACAACCAGATTCGCCAGAAGTAGATTCAGAACTCTTAATGATTGGCTTAGTATCAAAACGAGGAGAAGAATGGGCAGTTTTGTTTGCTGACTTCATCATAGGCTCTTGAAGGTACTGAGGTAGATTCTCCGAAGAACACGAACTGCTTTCCTCTAGCACCAGGGATATTCTGATTCCATCTCCCCTACCTTCAGTCAGGGGATGATCAGATTCACCAGAAGTATGTCCTGCACTCTTAAATATTGGTTTAACACCAAAACGAGGAGAAGAATGAGCACTTTGATTTGCTGATTTCACGACAGGGACTCCACTTCCCAAGCGAGGGAAACCAGATTCCCCTGGTTCAACTACAACAGACCTGTACAAATTTGTAATTTTACCAGCTTCTGAAATCCTAGGAGAAGCTGCTGGCATTGATAACCGTCTCATGGCAGCCATTTCTGCTGCTTGAGAAATGCACAGTCCCCTCAATGCCTGCTTCAAAGACACGGGCTCGGAAAATCCAATTCCTGGTGACTGAGACCCAGCGACCTTCATTGGCTTCTTAGAGGAATTTCTTTGCGAGTCGGAGAGATCCAGACTCTTGCATGATCTGAGATCAATTGCCTCAAAGAGTTTGTTGATATCATCTTCCAGAGTTCTATTAGATCCTTTTTTCAGGATTGGAGGCTTCCTTTCCATGTCTTGTGCTCTTACTTGGTGAAGTGTTTGATGGGGCCGGGATGTATTCGGCTCGTCTTTTTCTTCAACAATTTCACAATTACGTGGAAAAGAACCCATCATTTGGACTTTCTTTCTATCAATGAATCACGTGGATTTAGGAGAAAGCCTTTTGATCTTATATCATTTAGTGATATATTATTAGTCCTTCCAATGTTACACGTACTCCAAAATTTTTCGCATTTCACTCGTGCTCAATTCCTTTCTTATTTATGTCGTCTGAACATCCAAAATCTGCACCTGCAACAATAACCAAGATTTCTAGTAACATGAGCCAACACCCTCCTAGATCATCTTCTAGCAAAAATATAAGGAAAGTGGGCATGAATATCACAAAATATACATAACATGAGAATTACACTTACCAAAAAGTAGCTAGCATTTCATTATAAAACAATACATATATATAGTTCAAGAACCTGGATACAAATTTTGCATTCCATTATTACCCACTTAGGCTTTCTTCTGAATATTTACTATCCAGACCAAAAACCTAACTTACCTGAGTATCTAAGAACAAAGTCTGCGCTGCAAAATCAACTTTCTAAACTGCAAATTCTATTTTCGTAATGAATAAAGTAAGGGTTCTAAAATGTGAATCCCAATTCCTTTTCATAAGAAGATCCCTTATCTTCCATCCAATATACCAACATCTGTTCACTTATAAACTTTGGGCCCAAATTTTACGTTGGTTAATCAACAGACCCTATGAATAAAAAGGAAAAGTAAACTTCTTTTGGCAACTCAACTTCATCTAAGACAAACTGTAATCTAAGTGTATAAAAATTTCAAGTAAACAGCAAGAAATCTCTGCAGAAATGAAGTTGATCTAGCATTATTTTATTTTTCATTTTTGTAATTTGATATAAGAAGCTCCTGCCCTTTGAGTCAAATTTGCACAAAGCTACGTTAAAACAAAAGCTAAGCAAAACAATTATCCAAAAATAAGATATTTACCATTAAAAAAAAACCATTTTGTCAGATTGTTCATCCAAGAAAAATATATCTATTTTTTACAGAAGTGTAAAAAGCATAAATATACATTAGGTTAAAACAGCTCACACAAAAGAACTTGACACACATAATTTTCAGGAAATGTTTGCAGAAAGAGCAAAAAAAACTTTAAAGAGAAAAAATCAACAAGTTAAAGAAGTTACCTGAAGCATTTTGAGATCTAATGCTCTATGGAATAATATTCTCAGAAACAAATTCAAAATATTCTTGCAGCCTGCAGACGTTCACAAAAATTTACGGTCTGCTTTTAAAGAAAAGGAGAAAAACCCACAAAAAATTTTGGTGGTATGTTGTAAAAGGAGAGGTGGGTTTTACTGATTCCCAAGAGAAAGACTATTCGGTGGACTGAGATGGGGAGAGAGACGACAAACTATACTGTCTCTCTCATATCTATCTATGTGTGTATTTTCACACTGCTCCCTGTGTATTTTATTTTCTATTACATTGTGTGACATGGGTACCACTAAGATGGCTAATGGGCCCACTTAAAGACTTTGGATTCTTATTTATATGTAACTAATACGTTTTCATTTTTTATTTTTTTTTATTTTTTACTTGGAGAGATCTACTGTGTCAAAACGCCAGATTATAATAAAGAGTAGCACCATTATTTTTCAAAAATGTTTTTTTTAAATAGTAGATTTATAGAAAATGTGTCCATTATTTTTCAAAAATGTTTTTTTTAAATAGTAGATTTATAAAAAATGTGTGATTAAAAAATAATAAAATTTTTTGAATTTATCTGTAATATCATTTTATTAAAAATGTGTAATTAAAAAAAAAAGAGAAAAATATATTTTAAAAATAATGAGGATCAAACAAAGACAAAATTAGCCCGTGTGGAAATAATATATTAACTTCTCCAAATCTTTACCAAGAGCAAATAATTATATAAAAAACACCAAACCCGAGTTGTACTTAAAAATCAAAATTTTATAAAATTTAATAAAATATATTATTAAAAAGTTGATAAAATTGTTAATCTCATAATTATATAATTAAAATTAATTATTGACTTAGACTTCGATTTTTATTCAAACTTTTAAGATATACCAAATAGTTGGCATATGCAACTCCCGCACCAAAATATCATATTTCACCATTTTGCACCAAAAAATTGGTGCAAACACTCTCCATCACAACATCATAATTTGCACCAAAACGGATAATGTCCTTTTTGTCTCACTTTTTCATTTTGCACCAAATTTTTGTTAAGAATATTTGTGCCCAATAATAATAATAAATTTAATCATATTATCAATAATAATTAAAGAATGAATTAAAAGAAAGTACTCAAGAAGTTTTAAAATGTAACAAACATAATTGTTTATAATTATGATGAAAATCATCGTTTTCAAGAATTTCTTGCTCGTCATAGATAAATCAAAGATAAAGATGCTCATGTTACGATTTGAAATGCATTAATTTATCATTTTTGTGATAAATATACGAATAAAATGACAACACTAATTCAGCTTAGTAATATCATAATATTGAAATTCGAAACGTGTTAAACTCTTTTTTAACATTACTATTTAATACTTTCAGATTGTACTATATTTTTAAATTTGTTAATGAACTTAATAATTTTGTTAACTAAACACAATTATTTATTTAGTAATTTATATTGTAATAAAATAAATAAATACATAATTTTTGAGATAAATAATTTGTTAAGAATGAAATTAATGAAACATTGTTAATTTGGTGCAACTTTTGGATTGGAAATATTTTTAATTAGGTGCAAGATTTGGTACCAAAATAGTGCAAATCTTACCTCAATTTTTAATGCGAGGTTGGAGATGAAATGTTGTTTATTTGGTGCAACTTTTGGATTTGAGATATTTTTAATTTGGTGTAAGATTTGGTACAAAAATTGTGCAAATCTTACCTCAATTTTAATGCGAGGTTGGAGATGACCTAAATGTTATATACGAGTACTTCATGATGGCATAATTTGTAAATCATATTAAATTGTACCATCAAATCGAGTCGTACCTATCATTGTATTAAAAAATGCATCTAAACAAAACGTTTTCAAAACGGCTAGTCGAGAATATAGGAACGCAAATATTGACTACCTAATGCACGCCTAGGCACAATATTTTTTGTTTAATTATTTTTTTCTATTTTTTACTTACTTTTTTTTTTTTTTATATCCAGGTATCCCAATTTACACCAAACTAAATTCTGGACCCCCAAAACCCTTGCTTCTTTCTTTCTTTCTTAGTTTAAAATTTGAGCTTTCAAGTCTTAAGTACTCCATTTGGTATGGTTTCTACTTCTTGTAGAAGACTTTTTTTGAGAAAATTACTTATATTAGCTTATTCTATAAGCTTTTGTTCTTGTTTGGTAGGGATTTTGTTAATTAATTTTTTGATCGTTAGAAATAAAGTGAGTCCTATCTATGAGAGAAGAATTTAAAAATGACGGCTGAAATAGTGAAATAATGGTAAAAAAATAATGTTAATTAAATTAAAATCTTTACCAAACATGCTCCTTATAACTAAATAAAATATTTTAAACCTAACAGGATCTTAAATTGGAACAAGGTATTTAATATATTATTTACACTAGGTAATACGTATAAGAAATGAAGCACCATTTTATTTATTTATTTATTTATTTATTTATTTTTGGCTCTACTACATTTTACTTTTGTCCTCGTCAATTTATCCCGTTATTATTCTGCAGTAGTGGAATCAGACTTTTTTTACGATGGGGTGGGGGAGATTTTGAGGACACACACACACCCCATTGAAAATGCAGTCTGGCGTTCGGCACCCCACCTCATCCTCCCTTCACCTCTGATTTCGTAATTTTGAATAGTGGTACTATAAAGGGATTTGGTATTCGAATTTGATATTATTATTATTATTATTATTATTATTATTATTATTATTATTATTATTATTATTATTTTTGTAGATTTTGATAGAAATTATTTAATATGTAATTGAAAAGTTGATAAAAATTATGAATTTGATTAAATATGTTATTAAAATTAATTATTAATTCTGACTTAAATTTAACAACTTTTTAAGTCACAACAATTAAGGACTATACTAAAGTAACTAGATGTATGTAACTTATAAGCATTAGGTTTAGGCTCGTAAAAGTACTATTTTATAATAAGTAACATATTAATTAATATTGAGTTTTATTTATCGTGTTTTTCGTATATATAAATTAAGCAAGCAATTATAAGTTTCATGGTCACTTGTTGAGTATAGAAAAATAACTATGTATATTGTGATCACAAGAAATAGTTCACAACCCATAAATAAAGTTGAATGCTTTAATTTGTTAAGATTGCATTTGTGAAAACTCGAGTTTCTCTAGATTCAATAGCAAGAACGATGGTCCATTCGAAGCGCATTGATCGGGACCATATGAGATCTTATTAATAATCGGTTGAAATAGGATATATAACTAAATTATTGAAAGAGTAACCTCAATTTTTATTTTGAGCGAGTAATGAAATTTGATTACTAGTTCGAATTCTTTCAACTGTGATTGAGTGGGATTTAAATCATCTAATCAATACATCAGTACTTAGAAAATTGGAATAGGAATATATAAAATCCATTACTCACTTTACGCTGCACCAAATTCGTGTTGATTATTTATGGACTACACTAGTACTGTTAGTATGTGCCATTTATTGTTTAAAGTGTTGTGAAGATCAATGTTTAAAAAAATGCAACCTCACAAAAATGTCGAACTTAATGTAAAATTAGTGTACATGTAGCTTGATTGAATTCTTCGGGTACTGATGTCTTTGTTTTGCGATACACTCCTGAGATAACTCTCTCCTTTAAGAAATTCTAATATTGCTTTGGGTTTCCACCGCCCATTTTAACTGGGATCCTTAAAGAAGGTAAATTAGTCTTTTTACGTATTCATTAGTAAGACTATTTAATGTTTATTTTTCCAATATTTTTGTCATGTAATTAATCTTGAAACGCTAGCCCCTTTTTTCTTTCTTTTCTCTATATTTTGTTCATTGATTTAATAGAGCAAAGGAGCATAAGCTTGACAAAGTTAGACATCGCTTCATGGATTTAATTATGTGATATATGTTTTCTTTGTGATTTAAACTAGTTCTAAGTTAGATTTCTTAAAGAATACAAGAGATCCCTTGTTTTTCTTTTATATATACTTCCTGTAAAAATAATTTATAGTGTCATATTTTGAAGCAAATCTCCCGAGAATGATACTATTTTAGAAATTATATGATTGTCATCAAACAAATACCTTTTCGAAAATGAAGCTAAACTCTTGAAAGCTATTGTTTGTCAAGTATGACTCTACAAGATCCTAGATGCTCAGTAATGGATGGTTGAGCTGTGCTCGACCAATTGTATGACGATGACTTGAGCAACCATAATGTTATATAAAATTCAATTAATTGGAGCTAGATGATTGGTAGCTATTCGGAGTAAAAAGCTTTACGATTGTCATTCAAAATAGCGTAAGCACTTATCCATTATCAAAAAAAAAAATAAAAAAATACACTGTAATAAATTGTTTTCACTAAATAAAGTAATATCCTCCACATGACGTGTCTTGTTTATTAATAAATTTTGTGATATTGTAAACCTACCTATAAATAAAATGAAGAAATAGACCTTCTTTCCTTCATCGATTTAATTAAATACTTGCATACTTAATTTTAAATAATAAAATCGAAATCTAGATATTAATAGCAATATCCTATTAATTAACTGAATTATTTAAAGTATTAAAACCATTAAAAATTTAGTTGAATTAAATGACTAGATAATTAATAAATCTAACACCCCACCCCCCAAAAAATAAATAAATTATATTTATAATTTAATTTAAAATTTTGGTGTTCTAGTTACTTAGCTCATGTTTAAAGGACATTATTTCGAAAAAATGGGGTTTTGAATAGTGAATTTTTTATTTTTTTTAAGAACGTGTGGTTTAAAAGTAAGACAAAATTTTGTATTTACATTGCGGGTCGTAACTTACCCGATAAGGAATTTCGCTACCTTAGGACCGTTATAGTTACGAGCGTTGTTCACCGGGGCTTGTCTATCATTATAGACAAATGAAAAACTTTCTCAAGATTCTTATTCATCCACTTGAAATTTTCAAAACAGTTTGGTAGAACTTGAAAATTTCAAGTGGATGAATAAGTAAAAAAATATTTTTTTTCTTATATAAATATCTAATTGAAAATGAGTATTAGAATTAAAGGATTTTGTTTTAAAGAGAGACAAACATGAGTTTATTATTATATATATTAAATCAAAATATTTCAAACTGAATTTTTTTTAGAATATCTAGAGAAAGAATTAAAGGATTTTGTTTTAAAGAGAGACAAACATGAGTTTATTATTATATATATTAAATCAAAATATTTCAAACTGAATT